AATATGTATCACATATACTGTACTACAGTACCTATTTACCACACTGCTTCAAACAGTTCTTTGGTCAATTCATGTTTCAATTAGTAATTAGGACATGGAGATCATGGTTTTGTAAGTTGATGAAACAACATGGCAGACGTGACCTTCACATTTATTCTCAAAAAAAACAACACCACTGTGTGGGTTCCAGGGACCCTTTTTTTGGGGGGGGGGGGGGGGGGGAAATAGACCCACAGCCTTCCCAACAAGCACTTCTACAAGTAATTAGGAGCTTCCTTTAAAGTCAAAGTGCATCTGCCTGAGAGGCAAGGAACCAACAGTCTGCACACAAATGCATCAGATCTGTCAAATGGATGCACACACAACACTCAGGTTCTGGAACAGGACTGCAGTCCAGAAGTGGATGAACAACCAGAACTTTCCACCAGAGTTTACAGCTGGTGAACGCAAAGAAGAAGAAGTTGCAACAGATTTTCTTCTGACTGAACTGCGCATGCACTGATTTTGTCAACGTATGGCTCCTAAAATGTCTCCTGGACAGAAGGACACTGGTAGGAGACCTAATTCCTATGACTGATCACAATTTTCTCAACATAATTACAGGAGATGAGACGTGGTGCTTTTGTTATTTTAATGATCCTCTAACAAAATGTCAGTCCTCTGAACAAAAATCACCCGTATCTTCCCGGACATAGAAATTTAATTTGGACAAGAGCAAAGGCAAAGTTAAATTGTAACGTTTTTCTCAACATGCTTTGTGAGTCCGTTACAATCACGGCATTTGTGTACAGCTGATTCTCAAGCAAGCGGAAGGCAGCAGAGACTTTTTGATATCATATGCCAGGCTTTGCTGCACTAAGCGATGTTCATTCGACTTTGCTTTGAACCCCCATTTACTTTGTCTGCCCCTCAACACAGAGCCATCTGTATAGATAATCACATCGCTTGGGTGGGAATTGTCATGAATCATTTGTTGAACTGCAGCACCAGCTGGCCAGTCTCTGCACTCACGACCTAAAGTAATTAGAACCCTACACGTCAGAAACTTGTTCGGACAACTTGACCCACTCCTCTCCTTGCTCAAATTTATCAAGCCTGCACTTTTTGTGTCTTCAACTTGTGTCATCCAAGACCTTCCTCTTTTCAGTCTGTGACCCTTAGCTCTACACAGGGCTTCAAGCAGGAGGTGCTTCTTGTCTTTGCCTGCAGAACTTTGAGCCTGTCTGCAATAGTAGGCAGTGCAAGTATATATCGAATACATACTACCAGTGTATCTCTTGTACATGCCAGACAAAATAGATGCTGTGAGTGCCCTCTGGGAGTGAGTGAACTGTGCGGAAGCGCAAATAGATCATTGTGGTCTGAGGAGAATGGCGCTGTGAGGAGTTACCAGGGGATCTATCCGACAGTTACTGGTACCATCGGAATTAGAACTCTTTGTTTGCTGCTGAAGATGGGAACGGAGCGCTTATGGGGGTGTCTTGTGTGCTATGATGTCAATTCTTAATTCAACATTTAACAAGTGAAAGTAACTTCTTCAGGACATCCCCTGCCTCTTCCCTAGCAAGCAGGCAATACTAGGGTGACAGTTTACTTCCTGCATTCAAAGAATACCTTCTATGGATTTTGTACTGAATAATAAAAAAGAATCATCGCCGGAGCTATAGAGTGCGAGTTCTGGTCTTCAGGTGGCAACAGAAAGAGTGGGAAGAGAAGATTTGACAGACTGGCTGGCTGGCTCTGCACAACTTGATGGAATACTGATACATGATAAGGCAGACGTGGTCAGTGCCTTGTGGGAGAGCGTGTACAGTTCAGAGGAGCAGATGGATCACCAGTCAGGTGAGCTTGATACAAGAGGGAGTGACGAGAGGTTCCGGCAGATGCTCAAAGCTCAGAGGAAAGGCAAGACGAACGTTTAATCAGAATGCTACTGGCACCATTAGTAACAGAACTCTTCGCTGGTTGCTGAAGAAGGGGATGGAGTGCTTGTGGGAATGCCCCGATTGCTGTGATGTCGGTTCTTGAATCAAATCAAATCAGAGGTGAAGACGGCATAGAAATAAGAGTCAGACGAAAAACGGAGCGTCTGGGATTAAAGCATATTAAAGTGGGTTAATGGAATTGTGGTAGTGTCAAGCAGAAAAGACCTGTACTAAAGACTGACTGATGACTTTGATATCATCATGCTGCAGGAATTAAACATAGATAGGGTGTCCTGGATACGTTAGTTATATCAATCCTACCGGACAGGGAAGGCATGGGCAATGTCTGCTAGTGCGGAAATAAAGATGTCATGTGAAAATTGCCTTTTCTGTTGGATTTGCCCTCATATATATAACGCAATGGGAAGTGTGTTTGTATAAATATACATATAGACACAGCCATGGTTGGCAGCTGGTCTAGGAGGAAGGCTCTTCTGTGCCAGCAATTTCTGAATCATGCTTTGTTCCATATGTGCTGGTGTTAGCTTTTCCGTTGAAGCGAGGGATAATACTGCATAGGCAACATTATGTCTCTACAAAACTGTCTAGGCTTTGCGCTATGAAATGAAGCTTTTCTGTCCTTAATTGGTATCATCATGGGATGCCAATGCCATGTAGCTCAGTGAAACACTGTGGATTACTGCTTGACCACCAGGATAACTTAGGTGTTTTTGCCCAGCCAATGCCATGTGTCCAAGCCATTCATCCTGCTTCCTGCTTTTCTATCATTTGCCTCATTTTAAAATTTTTTTTATTGTTCTTATATGACTGCACATTTACAATAAAGCTCTGGTACAAGACCTTAACTTTGCTGACGACATAGTGCTTTTGAGTTCAACACACTCAGATATCCAAGAGAAAACAGACCATCTCCAAAATATTTTAGGACCAATTGGTCTCCAAATTAACACAGAAAAAAAAAAATGTATTGATCTTACAGAGGACATCAAACTAAACAATCACATCCTTGAAAAATTGGACAGTTTTACATACCTAATGTATACCCAAACCTAGGGAGTAAGATGACATCCTCAAGGGATTCAGCACCAGAAATATCATTTAGAATTGCACTGGCATATGGTGCCTTTTCCAAACTGACAAACATCTGGCAGTCAAAGACACTCAGCAAACACAAAACTTCAGCATCTTAAACTGTTGTTTGATTCCAGTATTAACTTATGGATGCGAGAGGTGGAAAGCAACAGTAGCTCTTGATAAAAACAGTTACACAATTTTAAGAACAGATTCCAGATCCAATTGGCCGGCGTGATGCTGACCACATCATCCATCTTGTGCCGATTGGTCTATAAAAATATAGGTCTAGCCCTATATGCCTGATGGTGTGGAAAAAAGAACTTTCAGATCCAATACGCAAATGAGACCAAGCAAGAAATGTATCAAATTTGATAAGAAAGTGATGCTAGAATTATACCATGTACTCGGAATGGATAAGTCAAGCCCTCATTTGGACACTGGAAGGGAGAGGAAACGAAGAAGACAAAGAGAGACTGCGTAGAACCATCATCAGGGAAGGCTCAACTATAGGCCTAATGAATATCCAAGACCTAAACCTGGTGGCAATGAACCGCCAGAGATAGAGAGCTATGACCTCTGCACCGGCTTTAGCTCAAGGAAAGACTAACAAACAAGTCCAGAAGGCGATGAACAGCCAGAACTTTGTGCTGAAGTCATACTGATTCACTTCAGAATTTCTATTACTGATTGATACATTGCAGTGTTTATTTCTTCTCAGAGTTGATTATTGGTGTGTTTTCTTACCAAGGGAGGGACCAAGATGACAATCGCAATTTTGACCATTTTGGGATTCCGTTCATAGTTCACAATTATTCTTAGTAGAAAACAGCTGTAAAACTACTGATAGCGACGTCTGGCGATCTCTCTGGCAAACCTCTACACCCCAAGGTAGAAGAGGAGCAACTAAGTAAGTAAGAAAACAGCTGGGCAAACAGTTCATTCACAGGTGCACATAGCTGATACGCCTACCTTGAAGTTTTGTGTACATGTGGTTATGTAATCAGCTGTACCCTGTTCTGAGGCGGAAGATAATGACTTTATTGACAGAAATACAGCATACGGCTCAAAGGCACGAAACAAAAAATTAATCTTTTTTTTAAATTTGTTTATTTGTGTCTGATTGTTCCGGCTCACAGGTCTACTTTTGTATTTCTTGGTTTACAGCTCGAATTACTACTACCACCAAACAGCACACAATAAAACACACACCGGATACAGAACTGAGAAACAAATTTCAAGTATAAATACAAAAAGTTTATTACAGTAATCTGACAAGTGTACAAATACACGATAAACAACAACATACACTGCGACAGAATCGACTGCAAGCAAAGAAACAATTATATTTTAACCGTTAAAGGACCAGGGGACGAAATTTTACTTTTACAATGTATTTGACAGTCTTGCACTGAAACTGTTTTCAACATCATCACTACTATCTATATCTTGATAGTTTTCTGCATCTTACAATGTGCTGTGAGAATGATCACTAGGATATAGTCTGCCCTACTCTGCCTTAAACTGAAAGTGCTATAGTGTAACAACTGTTACTTCTTTACCTAACTAAACAGTGCAAACATAAAAGACAACATGGAGAAGCTTTCAATCACCAGTACTGTTGAGAGATTTAGCTAATGTACAACACAATCAAGACCTGTGACCCATTCCCTTGTACAGTCAACCAGGAATTACTACATGCTATATAGTCAAGAGAATATGAGCATGTGCTACTACTGCACAACAAAACTACATTGACACTACTGTTACCAACTAATGTTATATGCATGAATTACTGCACATTAAAACAAAAACTAGAAAGAATTTCCTTTTACACAAAATCATACAGCAGGCCGCCAAAAAGAATTAAAAATATAAAGGGCACCCATTGTGTGCATGCACATAGATGCTCTCAGTGCTTGCGGGACCAGTCTCGCAGTCCAGGCAGTCGGTAATGAGAAGGTGGTGCAATCCTCTCCCCAATTAGTTCTGAGATGCTGAACGTGACCTCTGTCTTGCTGGTGGAGATCTGCAAACAAGGAGTGGAAATACTCAAAATTACAGAGTCATTTTAAAGAGATGAACTGTTTTAGTCACAGCAGACATAACACTGGAGTAGTTAGTAAGTGTGTAATTTTTTTTTTGCAAGTCATGTTTAGAAGGAAAAAAAAATAATTAACTATCAACTATGCAGTAGTGACTACACTGACCATTATAATGAAGCAAAAATCTAAATGAAACTGAAAGATAACAGACACATCATCAGTTTTTTTTTAAAAACTCCAACCACCCATCCCTTTCTTGGTCTACCTCTTGCCTTGTAGACAGCCGTTCTCATGTGTTACACTCTAGCTGCTGGCTGGTTATGTTCCACTGTGACCAACTATACACAACAACCACACACAAGCTTACCGGCTTTCATATCTGCCCCTGCTCCTGCTTCGCGAGTAACTGCGGGATGCCGACCTGAAAATAATTCGTTGCAGGTAAAATAATTGTGCCATGTTAATACAAACCTTTTTACTGCACCTAATGGTTGCGAGTTAAATACTAAACACACATTTCTAAGATGCTATATAAATAGCCAGACAATACATTGTACAATACATTACTGTTTCACAAGGAAATAATTTTACAGTAATAGTGAGAATACAACCAGATCTAACGGCATATGACATTTTTTACAGCAGAATATCTGTGAGGAAGACAAAGAAAGAGATGGATAAATGGTGCAGCCAAAACCTGTAAAAGGATGAACAAATCCATCACCCAAGAATGACAAGACAAATACGGAAAACCACAACACTGAGCTACAAACTGGTATCAGTGAGACGACGACAGAAGACTTCCAACTACATATGAAGTAAAACTGCAAGAGATGAACTTAGATAAGATATACACTATTTATACTCTATTGAACATATTACATTATTTAAAATATCAAATGCTTTTGATTAATGTGTTCACAAACAACCACCACATACAGCATCACACTGCTGACGTGCATCCAAGTTTTGTTTTTACAGTCAGCATCACACACTACTACTTCAAAGCAACGGGGAAAAATTGTGACAGCAATTAAATCTTGTACTCTAAAGTCAAGCGAGTACTGTTGCAGGAGCAGAAAGAAAGTACAATCATTCATTACCAGGTAACTTCAGAGCAGAGGAAACAATCATGTCAATTAGGGAAATAACTTGGCAAATGCAAGATGATAAACAGGGACAAAAGCGCTGCAACTGGATAAAATATTTATGTATAGAAAGTCACTTAAGTGGAACCCACACGGCAAAAGAGATAACAGACCTAAAAACACATGAAGAAGGGAGTCAGACAACATGTGACCAATGCAGGAGTAGCACGAATAACTTGGTGTGTATTAGTCATGTGCCTTAGCTCCGATAAAAGAATAAAGGGTAGGATACTTTCTTATGCACACAATCTGTTCATTCAGAAATCTCACTGATTTACTGGGTCAAACAATGATTATTAATGTATTAATTATCTGATGTAGAGAGAGAATTAATCCAAGAGTTTTAAAAACAAACTGCCTCAGAAACACAATCATTCAACACTCAAGTCCCATTACTTGCAAAAAACTGTTGTAACCCTAAGACATACAAACTAGACAGACAACCACAAATAATTTAGCTTAATTAAAAAAAAAAAAAAAACCCAGCTTGAACACTGCTTTGGCAATCCAAAGTTTACCGTTTTGACTATTCAAAGATGTGAAGATCAAAAGTGATGAATCAATCACGAGGGTGATAATAGAAGTCAGTCAATTTTAGCCTCATGAGGGATGACTCTAAATGCCACGTGAAGTGCCAGATGTCAGATCTCATGATGTCGTATTCAATGCCGACAGATGCCTGCATCAATGTGTTGACATTTTCAATCAAAACCAGGGCGATGCCTCAAGCATTTAGGTCACAAGATCTTAACATGGTGGCTGTGGTTGCAGTAGCAGATGAAGATTGGTGGCTGCTTTAATTCTTAGTGATGGTTGCTCTAACTGGGATGTAATGCAGATCTTAGTTTTACTCTGCAAAGCAGGTACACAGAATAAGTGATAGGTTGTTTATAAATGATCCTTAATCTTCCAGCTGCCTAAGCAAAGATAATATTAAAGCTATGTTTAAAAAAATACAAAACATAAACATTTTTAGGCTATTATAATTGTAAGATTTTAAATTACTGTTTAATGTATGTGTTCATAATAATTACAGAAATGTACATTAAAATGAAGTCTAATATTAAATAAATAAATCATACATAATGTCAATAGTAACCAACCATCCGTTGGTGGGCATACTGTTAGCAACCCATGAAATGCTGACATAGTTTTGATTGGTGCAATTGAAACCAGCTGCAGGAAATTATGGACATAATTGTAAGAGGAAGTCAAAACAGGGGCCATGGTTCAAACAGCAAAAAACCAGAAGTAATGATTATTTACAAAGACAATGGACCCTCCGAAATTCAACATCAAGGTAAATGAAATGAGACATTCCTCCAGCAAGCTCAGACGTTAAAGTTATCGGGTACCCTGATAACATCAGATGGAAGGGCTATTGAAGAACAAATGCAGAACAGCTCAAGCACAAAGGAAGCATTTTATTAAATGAAGAATATTTTATGCAATCTTTCTTTGGCAATTAGGACAAGAAAGAGAATTCTTAAAAGTTATATAAATCATATCCTGTTATAAGGAAGCGAATCATGGCCAGTTGATCGGTAAACAATTATTTAGAACCTGCAGAGATGTGGACAAATAAGAATACCCTGGACGTATTTTTTTAAATAAATTTCTGTAACTCTGAGTACCAGGAAACGCATCATATGTTCATAGGTTCCCACCTAGAAGCCCAATGAACGCATGTTGCGCCAATTTTATGACTTTCTTGACTACCCTTTGGGCCTGTGATGCTAAACCCTCTGGGAGTTAAGGAATTGACTCAAGAAGAGAACAGCTTGTTGACATCTCATGTCATGAGAAGAAGAAAACTTGGGTACACCACGACAGTGGGAAAGTTGGAGGGGAAGGGGGTGACAGGGAGAAGGTGCTGGACAGTTCAACATCATAGCATGGAGGATCATCTGTGTCAAAGGTGACTAAAAGTACTTGAGACAAAAGTGGATAGACTACCAACACCACATGGCATGCACCTGAAGTATTTACGTACTTAAAAATCTGATCTAAAGCAACGAAAAAAGTGTAACATTTTGAAATATACCTGCTTCTGCGTCGTGACCCTCCACTGCGCCGGGATCCTCCACTTTTGGAGCAGTCATAAGCATAGTGTCCCCTGTCACCGCACTCATAGCACTTGTCATCTGGGTTAAATGCCCGTCTGCCTCTGGGAGCTCCACGACTACCGCCACGCAGCCATGGCTTGGGGCGCACTTTACCGGTGGACAATTCCACTCTGCATCTTGATCCACAGATTGTTCTGTTAACACCAAGCATTATTTATTAGATTCACGTGTGAAGCAATCTAATTATGTAGAATTTAGTAGGAAGCAATCTCATCACACACAACTGTGTGTGAATAAATCGCACAGTGTAATAACTAACCTGGGTTGAATTATCAGTAACGAGGTCACTGCAGACATCACATATATAGAATATAAAGGTTTCATAATTATGATTACTAAGTAAAAGATACATGAAGAATACTGCACACAGCAAGGGTCACAAATATAACAACTATGTACTATCATCAAAAGCATACATTAAATTACCCTAACTTAAACTGGTGAGGACATGAACACATATGGGCACTGAATTATAGACCATTTTACAAATTAAGAAAATTCTAACTTTAAGAGTGTAGTCTGATCACAGTTTATCTGCAACTGTTTCTGGCTGGATCACTTCTGCAACAAGTTTTATTAGGCAATCTTATTTCACAAGCCTTGACCTTTCTCTTAACCGTATTTTAGTCAGAGTTGTACAGTACTGGTATAAACATACTGAGGCTGAATCCACCTGAAGTCACATACACTAGCCATTAGGTCTGTGTCTCAGTATGGGCTTAATTTATCAGAGTACCTACACTTGATGTACTCTTGTTAACATGGAGTGTACTCTCCTTCCCCTTTAAAGGCCGTGAAACAAGCAAAGTTACAGAGTATGACACAGAGAGTCACATTTACAGGTTGTGCCTCGACTGGTGTGAAATGGTCTCCCCAAGTTTAGGTATTTCATTGACAATATACTTCAGCCCAGTAAATGGAATGTTGAAGCAGATGAGAACAGTCGTGACTAAAATCCGCATTGTGCTGTGTTGTTATACCTCACATAGGACTTGAGTCTAGTCCTCCATTCTGTTCCATCTTTTAACAAAGTTTTCATCTCCTGGACATAACATTCTCTCTCAATCCACGTGTGCCTGATTCTCAGTCTGCTTCTCCTCATGATGTGCCCAATTTACTGCCATCTTCTTTGCTTTATAAACAAATGATTCCAACAGTTGCCCAGAAATTCCTCTTATTTTCTCTACTCATTTTTTTTATTTCATCTAATTTAATGTTCATTGGTTTCCTTTACCATTTATTATCAAATGTATTTAACGTTCATTTGATGTCTTTAGTGGTTCTCAAACTTTCAATAGCATACGTAAAAACTTAAACATTATAATTAAAAATAAGTTAACTACTAGGTTTTAAAACTAAATAATTTAGAGTTTTACTTTAAAAGCTGCTGTTGTCTTGCTAATACAAATATCAAAGCGTTTCCCTAAGCTAAAGGGAGATCAATAAGTAGGTAATTGCTAGTTACTGACAATAGCTTGTGTGTGGTTACTGTAGAGGGAAAAGTAACAAAGGGCAAACCTGTAAACAAATGCAACAGAAAATGTAACCAATAGATTTAGAACATAAAAGCTGCAAAAAATAAACCAAATTGCTCAGCAGCTACCTGAGTGTCCAAGATTTGGCCTCGAATATACAATATTGCCAAATGCCAAACAAACCACACATACTTGGATGGACAATTGGATCGCATGTTTGAAGTAATACAGTAACCCTAATTCCATGTTCACACATATGATATGTCACATAACCTCACGTCTTATATCAGCACTCATTCAGATGTCTCCTCTGTCTAGTATGAGTGATCCTGCAGCTATCACCTTTGTAGCCAAACAAACCACTCTTTCATTCCCTCGCACTCCTGCATATCCCAGGCAGTATATCTATGTGAGTCCCTGTAATCTTGACACGTAAACCATTCTTGCCATATTTGTCTATTTTTAACCTTCTGCTATATTAATTGAGAATCAGACTTTATAATCCTTCTCGTACCTTTACTTCCACTATTCGCTATACAGCTGTAGTGGCTGCCTCCATCCTCATGTGTGACTACAGAACAAAAAAGCACTATTCTGTTTTGCCATGATCTCTAGCTGAGAAAAGCCTAGCTAGATCAAGTATGCAAGGGAAAAGAGTTTCATAAACTGGGCTGCTATGGTTCAATTAGATTTAGCAGGAAAAACTAACTCAGAATAGTGTACATGATGCACTCAATTAAATATAACATACAAACACAAAACAGAATGTATCTTACGTTCCATCCAGCTCTTTGCAAGCATCTTCTGCATCTCGATAGTCTTCAAACTCAACAAATGCAAATCCTGGTGGATTCCTGGCCACCCACACATTTTTTAAACGACCATAGTAACTGAATGCTCTTTCCAGCTCCTTCTCAGAAGCATCCTTGGGGAGATCTCCAACATAGATTTTACAATCACTTGGGGCTCTGCTAAAACGTGACATTTTCTTATCTGGAGAGCAATTTATTGATTATATAAATACAAACATTTTGGAATTCACCATATGTAACAAACACTCTCAAACAAACATACTGCCTCAAAGACTATTTATACGCTGCTGTAAACTATTTATGCAGCTGCGTTTTTAGTGTGGAATCTGATCAATTAATAACAAGAATTAGTAAATCTACTGAGTATAATTATATATATTTCTGATCCATTTTATTATTTTTTATTTATAGTTTTTATTTTATTTAAAATTAACAAGCAAACTGACAACAGTTAGTATGTTATTATTACTAGGCATCATCAGTGGCTCTTGTAGAGTAAAATGAAGTTTGACAATCGTTTCAACATACATTTTTTAAAGTTTTAATGTAATTTTTGAATGCAAGCTTTTAAAAAGCTATTTCAAAATCATACCCTAGGCTAGTAGTGCGAAAATAACAAGGCTCACCCTGTGGTGCTAAACTTTTTTTTTCCCTTCCCTTCCGCGTAACTAAACTAACTGCTATGCATACTAATGTTAACAATATTATCTTCTCCAATAGATAGAATAATCTGTTTTTGTAATTAGGAAGTGGGAAAATTAATATAATAATACAATACAACAGAGTGATTTTTTTTTATTTTTTTTTTTTACGTATCCAGAAACCATGAGTTGTAAACCCTTTGGCTCGGTACTATGGATATCGCAACCCTTCGGCCTTGATTCCATTATAGGTACCGTTAATCTGGGAGAGATGTGGCTTTTCTGCCTACCCCCGGGAGTGAACCCGGACCACAAGGAGTTCGTCACCCGGCCGCCGCAAAAGTCAGGTTTAACCAACTTCGCTAGAATTTATTATAAATTAATGAATGTGGCTAACTGAAACTCTTGTTTAAGAGTTGACATTTCTTCAGATGCTACTTAACAATTACACAATTATTAAACACAAAAATCAAAACTTCTTTTACATATCCAAACACTATTACAGTATACCAGATAAACACAATATACTCGGTGGCGAAAATTTAGAAAAAGGGCATCCCATTATCGATAACAGGTCATTTTAAAAATTATTGTATAAGCTTTATTGTAGGCATTTACACGCTCTGAAAGAAATCCTTAAGAAACAGTAAATGTTGTTACAATATCGCTACATATTTCCCTAATAAGTACGTCTTACACAAATCTGTTTTACAAATGAACACGCCGTTCTCTTCCTAAAACATACCTCTGCCGCCTGCCAAGCCGTAATCTAGTACATGTGACCAGGTTATGTTAGCTTTTACTACTAAATTTTTTTCTCTGAAAATGTATGTAGAATTCACAGTGTTAGTGATGACAATAGTGTTTTAAGATCACAGTGTAATATGTTGGAATATTTATTATAATAAATTGCAAATATTATGTGCTACCATAATTGGATACTTAAAAGTACAGAGTTTAAAATGTGTTTACTATGCGGTAATTTTTATTTTAAAATGTGGTCAACAATGTTCTTATCTGGCATATCATCGTTTTTTTGTATAGTGAATGTTCAATGCCCACAACACTTCCTGATTATTTTTTTTTATATCCAGAAACCATGAGTTGTTAACCCTTTGGCTCGGTACTATGGATATCGCAACTCTTCGGCCTTGATTCCATGATAGGTACCGTAAATCTGGGAGTAATGTGGCTTTTCTGCCTACCCCCTGGAGTGAACCCAGACCACAAGGAGTTCGTCACCCGGTTACCGCGATGTTAGGTTTAACCAACTATGCCAGAGAGTCGGGCAACATTTCCTGATAAGCGCCCCGTCCCCGTCTTTGTAGGCAAGCACAGGGTTCAAATTCCAGTGGTGTCAGTAACAGTCTGACTGAAGATTTGAGCGTCAGCCAGATTCCCTTGTCAATCCTCTTAGCAACATTCTCCTCTGACCGTGATACCCTGTTTGTGCCTCAGCACTGTTCATTCGCTTCATAGTGTTTTAGATAAGATTGATGATATTAGTAGTAGTAGATTTTTAACCCACTAGGACATCACACAAGCGATAAACACCTGATGACACAAAGTGCTACCATGTGGATGAGGATCACCGTGGAGAGGTCCCAGAAACCGCGTTCAGCCATTGTACCATATTTATGGTCGGGCTATATTGCGGTCCCTGGAAAGAGACAGAGTAGGGCTTCAAATAACCAAAAATTACATCTCACGAGGAGATTACAGGATTATTATGTAGCAGATTATTGAAATAGCTTTATTTACACTTTGGGAACTTTAACATTCAAAGGATTGAACTGTCAACACAGTTTCATCTAAAATTCTCGAGTAACGGTCCTAGGCATTTTACAGGTCTTTATTCTCCGGTTCAGTGTATTCTTGTCGTTGCACTATCAAGACATCCACGTGGCTGCATCCGGATACGTGAGTTAAGTGATTTTGTGTATTTGTGTTGTTTTGTTTGATTTATGTATGTGCTGATGAAGGCTCTATAGCCGCAGCGCTCACGTTGTGTATGTGTTTGTTATATTGTGAAGCTCGATGACATACTTTTCGTTCGGTTTTATATCTTTCCTTGAGAGTCGTATCAGTACGCCTGCTTGTGTTTATCAAGATGTAGTTTAGTTAGCTTAGCCTCCTTGAAACATCATCATCATCCGTCCTACTGTTTAGTGACATGTGAGACTAGATGCAGACGTTGATCGCTGACAGGCAATAAAAGAACATGAAACCCAGCACAAGCCTCCCAGAGATTGTTTTATTGCAGATTGCCCCCAACATGACCGTTGTTGCTGTTTAAATGTGACAACGCGTGATGCAGGCCGCGGACTGCGCTAAGTGTTGCCAAGGAAACGCCAAGTAAACACTGTCAACGTGCATTTGACCTTTCGGTAAATTTGCAGCTCTCTGAGACATCGGATTATAATTGAGGGGGAAAATGCAGAAGTAAAATGTAATATGTTATGAAGCTGAAGGAAATAAAACCACTACAAACAAGAATTGTTATTCCAGCTGCTCAAATGATTACTTTGCTTACAGCAGAGCAGTTTAAGACTGAAAACAGTGTCGATACTAACCAGTTGTTTGCATTCGTGGCTGTCACAGGAGAGACACCGATTTTCTGAACCCGGCATTTTCTACAGGTGAATCTGTGAAACTGGAGATGTAACATGTTCCTAACCTGACATACTAGTCTGACATTCTAGCCAGCAAAATGTAAGTATAGCGTTTTTGAATCAAATCTTCCCCGTGTGGGTTCCATGATATTTTGTGGGGGAGAACAAGAATAGACCCACTGCCTCCCCAAAAGCCTGTCCATAGAGAGTCCATAATTTGGGACTTACTTCGAAGTCGTACATCTGCCCGAGAGGCAAGGATATAACAGCCTGCATAAAGATATGTCATATCTGTAAAACATACGTGCACGCAACACTCAGGTTCTGGAACAAGACTAAAGTCCAGAAATGGATGAGAAGCCAGAACTTTCCGCCAGAATTATAGCCGGCGAACTCCAAGAAGAAGAAGAAGAATCAAATCCAACGACTAAAGGTTAGAACGATGAAACAAAATGTCACCAATGTGTTCACTTCTGTTGAAGCAAGGCTTTCTCCAAGTATCTGGGGAAGACACTGGTTGAACCTTCTCCACTGCTATTTGTTTTAAAACTCTTTTAGTACAGCATTTTTTTTCTGGGGTTTGGACAGCATTAATTTTAAGCGGTATTTTTTTTTTAGTGCAACACGACAAAGCTAAAACCTTCCTGAAGAAAAAGTATGGGCTGTATCGGGACTTATAATATATCAAATTAAAGATAAATGAGTGCAGAATAAATCTAAACTAGTTAAATGTCAGTATAACATCAAAATATTATTAAAATCACACAACATTCAAGGATGTTAGACACATTTGAAAATTTTTGACATAAAAAATTGTGTGCTAACCTTATTCTTTACTGGTTCAACAACACTGCTATCCAGTTCTAAGAATACACATGCCTTTCTGTTCAATTATGTATTAGCTAGTCTTTATTTGAAACAATTAATTTAAATACTTTCTATATTATAATCATTTTTGTGTGACATGTCAATTTTCACAAAAACAAAAAATAGGAAAAAACAGCTGATCAAAACATTGATCTAATTGAAACATTTTGTGAAATTTTCATATCCTAAACTAAATTATCGCTAGTAGATTTGTCCCTTATATATCAATCATAATATCAAGACTGTTGTCACCATCTGGCAGGGATTCATCAACGACAGAGCAGTATGGACAATTCTAGACCTTTTCCCTTATCATTTATTATAGAAAAATCACTTACAAATTGTGTCACATCTAAATAATTTTTTTTTTAAATCACAAAATAATGCACCGACCACGATGAACATCGCAAATGAAAGTAAATCATGTTGTTAATCCTAATTGTTAAAAAACGTGTTCATAACAGTTCGTTTTCTCTACAAACGGAACAAAATTAGAGTGCCTCTATCACGAGCCAGTAAACTGGTTTTACGTCTTTAAGGGATAGACTTAATCGCCAGTATAAAAAACTAAACGTCCGTAAAGAGTAAGAGCACAGATATTCAGTTTGTCACATTTTCCATTTTTTTTTCACTATCTTTTGCTATTTTTGAATCACAGGCAATTTTGTATGCGGGCATTTTTTTTTTTTTTTTTTGGTTTTTATTGAAAATTCAAGAACAGAATTTGAGACAGATATGACTGAAGTTGAACTCCACCAGGACTACTCGCTAGGCGATGGTGGATGTTTACATACTACCACAATCATCTCCCTGTGAGATGCAATTTTTAGTGGGTTTTTTTAAGCCCTACTCTGTGGCCGCAATATAGCCCGGCCATAAATATGGTCTAATGGCTGAACGCGGTTTCTGGGACCTCTCCACGGTGATCCTCATCCACATGGTGGCACATTGTATTATCGGATGTTTATCGCTTGTGTGATGTCCTAGTGGGGTAAAAAGTCAGTCAGACAGTCGCTGAGCGATTAATACATGGTGACACAAAGTGCCACTAATTGGACGAGAATCCCCCAGGTACACACCAGAGACACCCCGTTCAGACATCATGTTATGTTGGGGCTCCTGGCGGAAATAAAGTCAGTTTAAGTCCAGACAGGGTAAGGTATGTGATAAAATGTTCTATTTTTTTGACGCTGTTCGAAATAAGGACTGCGTCATCTGTGTAGCCAAGTTTCGGAACAGGGATACCGCTAATTGTGACCTGATCATAACTGTCACAAGTCAGGTCATTTTAACATCTCATTATGTTTTTGACACATGTATTAAACTGGTATAGAGAGAAAACGACCACATGCACCCCTTCCCACTTCTTCAAACAAGTTATTTCTCCATTGCGATTGTAATAACCGCTCCAGTGAGACGATGACAAACGTATGCCAGTACACTTATCTCCTCCTTAAGTACGGCTCACCAAATGACGTCACCTGAGGCGCTCTGTTGGTGACCAATCGTCTACACCTATAGATGCCGGGTCATGATTGTTGCTTGTATTTACAATGACAGATGACAGTTATTTATTATTACACTTTAATAGTGGGTGGGCATTTTTTGCACAGGGACGCCACTGCATCGAACAGCCCTTAGATTTTAAACATCCTGCTGTGGTTTATAATTTTCGTTATCATAAATATAGTAAAACTTTTCATTTAAGACAAGCTGAAAACATCCCCAAACAAACACACACCGTACGTCATTTAGTGCCGCATTGATCGTGGGCCGCTAGTTTCGTATTTCACAATACACCAGGGCACTGTACAAACTGGCCATTCAATAAGGCTACATCGGGCGTGAATTGGGCGCAAAGTGGCGTGTGATATAACAATCAATAGTGAATAACCTCTGGCCTTTCAACAATTATAGCTTTATTGATACAGCATTGTCTGGACGTCTGCAACAACAATCTCACAGTTGTCAAGCATACAGTTGTCAAGTGCACAGTTGTCAAGTGCACAGTTGTCAAGTGCACAGTTGTCAAGTGCACAGTTGTCAAGTACACAGTTGTCGAGCACACAGTTGTCAAGTGCACAGTTGTCAAGTGCACAGTTGTCGAGCACACAGTTGTCAAGTGCACAGTTGTCAAGTGCACAATTGTCGAGCACACAGTTGTCAAGCACACAGTTGTCGCACACACAGTTGTCGAGCATACAGTTGTCGAGCACACAGTTGTCAAGCACACAGTTGTCCAGCACACAGTTGTCAAGCACACAGTTGTCAAACACACAGTTGTCGAGCACACAGTTGTCAAGCACACAGTTGTCAAGCACACAGTTGTCGAGCACACAATTGTCGAGCACACAGTTGTCAAGCACACAGTTGTCGCGCACACAGTTGTCAAGCACACAGTTGTCAAGGACACAGTTGTCGAGCACACAGTTGTCGAGCACACAGTTGTCGAGCACACAGTTGTCAAGCACACAGTTGTCGAGCACACAGTTGTCGAGCACACAGTTGTCGAGCACACAGTTGTCAAGGACACAGTTGTCGAGCACACAGTTGTCGAGCACACAGTTGTCGAGCACACAGTTGTCAAGCACACAGTTGTCAAGGACACAGTTGTCGAGCACACAGTTGTCAAGCACACAGTTTTAGAGCACACAGTTGTCAAGCACACAGTTGTCGAGCACACAGTTGTCAAGCACACAGTTGTCAAGGACACAGTTGTCGAGCACACAGTTGTCGAGCACACAGTTGTCGAGCACACAGTTGTCAAGCACACAGTTTTAGAGCACACAGTTGTCAAGCACACAGTTGTCGAGCACACAGTTGTCAAGCACACAGTTGTCGAGCACACAGTTGTCGAGCACACAGTTGTCAAGCACACAGTTGTCGCGCACACAGTTGTCAAGCACACAGTTGTCAAGGACACAGTTGTCGAGCACACAGTTGTCGAGCACACAGTTGTCAAGCACACAGTTGTCGAGCACACAGTTGTCGAGCACACAGTTGTCAAGCACACAGTTTTAGAGCACACAGTTGTCAAGCACACAGTTGTCGAGCACACAGTTGTCAAGCACACAGTTGTCGAGCACACAGTTGTCAAGCACATAATTGTCGAGCACACAGTTGCCAAGCACACAGTTGTCGAGCGCACAGTTGTCGAGCCATAGGTTCCGACAGAGTTCTAGGATGGCGATCGAATCATATGGCTACATGCTTCTGTTTCTGTGTCAAGTTCTGAGTTTTAGGAGTGAGAGAGAGAGAGAGAGAGAGAGAGAGAGAGAGAGAGAGAGAGAGAGAGAGAGAGAGAGAGAGAGAGAAAGAGAGAAAGAGAGAAAGTCAGCCAATGTTGCATGTTATACACAGAAATTGCAAAGAAAAAATCTACCGTGCAGCGCACTTTAAAGTCATTTTATTTACCGTATTCAACCAACCCCGAAGACGTATAATGTGGGCTTCTTAGTTATATCACCGTTGATATTATCATACATACACATGAGTCTAATTTGTAAAACAGATGTGCACGCAACACTCAATATCTTTTTAATGTGTTTGTGTATTTATTAATATTTATATTTATATCGTGAAGCCAGTGTAGTGTTCTCTAAAACAAAATACTTGATAGGACCGTTGCCGGGCGGCTAATGGCTAGACCAGCACATTTAAAATAGACATTGTGAGTCATATTAATGATACCCAAGGATATACATATTCATGATACACAAGGATATACATAATAATGATACCTAAGGATATACATATTAATGACACACAGGGATATACATATTAATGATACACAAGGATATACATATTAATGATACCCAAGGATGTACATATTCATGATACCCAAGGATATACATATTAATGATACCCAAGGATATACATATTCATGATACACACGGATATACATAATAATGATACCCAAGGATATGCATATTAATAACACACAGGGATATACATATTAATGATACACAAGGATATACATATTAATGATACCCAAGGATGTACATATTAATGATACACAATGGTATATATTGATAATACCCAATCTTATAAATATGATTGATACCTAATGGGTATAAATGATACCCAAGGGTATAAATATTAATGATACCCAATGCTATTAATATTAATGATACGAAAGGGTATAACTATTAGTTAGTCGACATAATACTGTATCCTTATTGCACGTTGTACTACTCAGTCCATAAGTGCTTGGATCCCCTCCTCAGTAGCGGCTGACGACACCAGTTCTGTTTTGGTATATTCTTTTTCTTTGGCTACCCGTGTTCTTGTTTGGCGACACTCCTTTTAACTTGATCTTCTTGCAGTCTGACCATGGTTGCAGATTCACAGTTCTCCATTAAATCACACAAACGACTTAAATCTCTCAGAGCATTCAGTGTATCAGCCTGGTCCATAGCTTGTCCGGCTTTCACAGTTGCCTTACCTGCAAGTCTATCAGCTTGCTCATTTCCTGGTACTCCGACATATCCTGGCACGCAAATGAATCTAATCCTTGTCAGCCGTGAATGCTGTAGAGCCATCAGCCACTGCCTACGGACCCAGCCCCTCCCTGACATCCTGAGTCATCTGTGTAAATGACAGCATCACCCTCTAGAGCATTCTCGAAAATCAAGGCTTGAACTTCTGCTCCCACAGCAGCCAGACTCTGTTGTATGCATTTTCTGTCTAGTTGGATGCAAACAGAAAAGGATGGACACCACCCTGAAGGCACTTGCACCCACTCCGCGCCGGGTTCTATGTCCTCAAGTGAGCATACCTGTAAAATTATGTCCCCGGCTTGACCAATCCACGATTTACCTCTTTTTAACCTGCTGCCCTTTATCTTCCTAATTTTACTCTGCAATGGACGCTGTGTGTGCGCGTTGACTGTAAGGTAGGCACGCGCTCGGGAAATGTGTATGCTGTCTTCTATGGTTGCACAATCAATAATGTTGCGCATCGCCCTGCATGCTGTATCTCTTGTACACTCAAGTATAATTCGTATAGAGCCTCGTTCTGTATCGTTTCCATCCTTTCCGACTACGTATGGCTAAGAGTCAAGATGTGGGAAAAAGGGGGGGGGGGGGGGGGGTTAGCTGTCCAAATACTTGGCCTGTTTTACTGTATCGGATGTCAATTTCTTCGTCCAGTTTACCATCTTCAGTGAATTTTGTTCCAAGATATTCAAACTCTGATGCCTGTTTAAATACCGTCATAAATTGTCTGGGGGAAGTTGAAGGGGTCTCAGTGTGCATGTTCCACCACCCCTGATTGGAATATCAGAACTACAGTTAACAGATGTGCACAGTTTGATAATTTAGCGGAAAAAAAACAAAATAACACAGGAATCAGAGACATGAAGAAGTGATCTGGTGAAATAACTACCGATAAAAATCACAATATTACCATTATAACACGATAGGAACAAAAAAAAAAAAAAAAAAAGGAGTAAGACTCATGTTTCTTTCTCCTCTTCTTCTTCTTTTTCTTCTTCTTCACCTTCTTCTTTGCGTTTACCGGTTATCCGGTGGAAAGTTCTAATTGTTCGTCCTCTTCTGGACTTTAATCTGGTTCAAGAACTTGAATTTTGCGTGCACATCCGTTTTACAAAGCTGACTGTTTTGCACGCAGTCTGTAGGTTCATTGCCTCTCATGCAGGTGCACTTCGACTTTGAAGGAAACCCCGAATTAGACGACTCTTACGACATGCTTGTTAGAAAGGCAGTGATTATATTCTTGTTACCCCCACAATGGGACCCCGTAACCCACACGGGGAGTACTAATGTTCCATTAGAAACTAAAGAACTACAGATACAGGAAATAGGAGGGGCAAGATTTAACCAACCACTACAACTTTGCATAAACGTTATTATGTTGTGCTAATGTTGCCAAGGAGAAGATAGGTGCAGGATGTGGCAGATGATCTCCAGATGGGTGTATCAGACGCAGGACATCTTGCTCAGGATAGGAAGGTTTTCCGGAGGGTTGTTATGGCAGCGAGGTTCCGCGAGGGACATGCTACTGAATGAATGAATGAATGAATGTTGCCAGGCCTCTGGCATGTGCTATAATTTGGGAGATCTTCATATGAAAGCGTCAGCAATATGTTTAAATGTTAATCCTTTGTATCTTCCTCAGAAACACATAACATCGACACAGACAGCGGAAGCGTGATTCGTTTTAGCAAATGTAGCATGGTGATATGGTGGTCTCGCCCAACAATGTGACGTCACTGCCACAAGCAGTTACCACCCCTGTAGATGGGTCACTACGAGGCCTGCAGGAGCGGGAAGATTTCAGTATCGTAGTCATGGAGACAATCGTTTTTGTTGTATTGTGGATACTGGCGTTGTTAGGCAATATTTTAGTTGTTTTGGTGATCCGCCGTAGCCGCAGGATGCAGTCGACAACGAACTATTTTGTTGTGAGCATTGCCTTCAGTGACTTGACTTTGATTCTGCTATCAGCGCCCTTTGTGTGTGTCCGAGTCGTGATGCAGGAATGGGCAGCAGGTCATTTGATGTGCAGACTTGTTAGATTGCTTCAGTTCTTTTCCACATCCAGCGTGTCCTTCATACTTGTAGCCATTTGTATTGACAGATTCTACACAATTGTTCATCCTCTCAGCTTCAAGGTCACCCGTGATACGGCGAAGAAGATGATAGTTGTTGGCTGGGGTCTGTCACTTATAATCTCCAGCATGTGTGTGTATTTCTTCGAGCAGGTTGTGCTGAAGAATGCGGACACTGGTCAACAACGATATGCTTGTCCTACTTTCATCCCTGGCGGCCACTGGTCTGGAGTGTTGTATGCCTGCCTCTGCGTCGTCAGCCAATACTTGTGCCCGCTAATCCTAGTCGTTGTCGGATATTCCCGAACTTTCATCTATATCAAATCACTACGAGATCAGGTTCGTCTGCACAGGCGACTAAATAACCCAATATCAAGGACTAAATTCAAGATGGTGAAAATGTTGATGTTTTTGAGTGCCCTGACATTTGTGTTGTACCTTCCTTTCTACGCTACGCAGATGTTTCACACCGCCGCATACAAACGCTTATTGAGTGCCCAAGCTTTCATTTCTAGTTTCTGGTTGATATGTGCATCTGCAGCCGCCAAGCCGACCATCTACGCCTGTGGAAACAGCAACTTCTGGCGCGGGTGTAAAGAGGTGCTGTGTATGTCTACTATGAGGTGTTACCGACTGAACACATACATAGTCACGAATGCGTCTTCCGTTAGCAAAAACAATTATGTTGGAGTTATAGATCTGTCTAAAGATCAAACCAGCATCCGCGTAGACTCGCCACTAGAACCCTTTAGTGCCGTTCTGTATGAAGGGAAAGGCGTTTGGCAAACAAGCGGGTCGCTGCCATCAGCGTCCATTTAGAGATAGAAACCACTGGAGAGATATAACATGGCGTCAGACCCAAGGACTAGTGGCTTTCGTTGTTTTTTTTAAATCGTATTTACTTCAGTAACCAAACGAATTTATTTGCCAAAGGTATGCGTTTAATGCTATGTAAAACCACGCCTTGTTCTATATTAATAGTTTGAAATTATTATTTAGAGAAAGAGAGTTATGAGTTTACATTGTTCATTCGGTGATCTCCTTTATGAAAGTCTTCTTGTATGACAGAAAATGTCTGTGTTCTATCCGCTTGGTGTGCTTGAGAAAGTTCTAAACTGGCCTGCTGGGCTCAGCACCACCTGTATACTAGGAGGAAAATGAAGCTCTTAAATGATCCATGAATACGCGAAAACGTATCTGTTCAACAAAGTCCAGAAGAAGAAATTGGCTGAAAGACCTTAAGGAAAAGAATACGGAGGGGGAAGAAAGAGAAAACTAGAAGGAGAAGAAGAACGTCTGTACATGGTTAGGGGGCCACTGAACGTCTGTACATGGTTAGGGGGCCACTAAACGTCTGTACATGGTTGGGGGGGGGGGCACTAAACATCTGTACATGGTTAGGGGGCACTAAACGTCTGTACATGGTTGGGGGGGGGGGGCCACTAAACGTCTGTACATGGTTAGGGAGCCACTAAACGTCTGTACATGGTTAGGGGGGGGGCATTTAACGTCTGTACATGGTTAGGGAGCCACTAAACGTCTGTACATGGTTATGGAGCCACTAAACGTCTGTACATGGTTAGGGAGCCACTAAACGTCTGTACATGGTGGGGGGGGGGCATTTAACGTCTGTACATGGTTAGGGGGCCACTAAACGTCTGTACATGGTTGGGGGGGGGAGGCATTTAACGTCTGTACATGTTTAGGGGGCCACTAAACGTCTGTACATGGTTATGGGGCAACTAAACGTCTGTACATGGTTATGGGGCAACTAAACGTCTGTACATGGTTATGGGGCAACTAAACGTCTGTACATGGTTAGGGAGCCACTAAACGTCTGTACATGGTGGGGGGGGGGCATTTAACGTCTGTACATGGTTAGGGGGCCACTAAACGTCTGTACATGGTTGGGGGGGGGGGAGGCATTTAACGTCTGTACATGTTTAGGGGGCCACTAAACGTCTGTACATGGTTATGGGGCAACTAAACGTCTGTACATGGTTATGGGGCAACTAAACGTCTGTACATGGTTATGGGGCAACTAAACGTCTGTACATGGTTATGGGGCCATTTAACTACCCAATAATTTTAAGTAATGTTACCAGTTGTTTACTGTTGACAGTTTTATGTGTAATTCAGAAGGGAGGAAGGGGACGGGTAGCGGGTGTTGGCTGGTCTGTTTCTGTTCGCCTAGCCTGTGAATAATTATCCATTATCTATATCATTCCCGTACACGAACAGAAATTATTTCCCCCCCCCCCCCCACGTGAATAGCGCACGCAGCTTTGATGCTAGTCTCATACCGTTAACAGACTCACGGGCACTCGATGGGCATTATGTTCAACATCCCGTCGGTCGGCTTTACTGCCCAGGACATTACCGTAAACTCTATGGACCACTGAATGAACTAACAACGACAGTGAAATTTACACAAGAGACAAAACTGCTGATATAGATAACTTATTTCAGGCGAACGAAAGAAGAAGAAGAAGGCCGAGCCAAAATAGAAGCTATAGCAAACTATTAAAAAAAACGACACGGCACAGTTTTGAACCCAAGACTTTTCGGCCGACGGCAAGCAGCTATCTTCTGCGAGACAGTGGGTCCCATCTGAGCTATTGACTTGCCCATAAACCTGTAGCACTGACATCACAGTCAGAACTCAGGCTCCAGTACATGCTGTCAGTGCGACGTTTGTGCTGAAGTGCAAAAACACAGAGTTGCTGCCACTGATACTTGTACTTTAGAAGGCGTACTGTAGAGTATTCATTCATTGATTATCCTGCTGTGCCATTCATTATATGTCATATTGGACTCGCAGTCGATTCCTCTATTTCTCTATCTTGTGCAATCAATTCAATATCATGGATGAAATCCAGTCCAGAGCCTTTGGCCTCTCTCATCAGCGTTCGTTTTAGGGTTTCTTTTAGGCGTTCTCGCCTCTCTAATCCCTTTATTTCTTATTTTAGTGCCTGGTTGGCGATTCTCTATTGGTTTCTTCTATGGATGTGTCCAATATAGCGACATCATCAATGTTTTTATAACTACTGATACTAGTGAATGCTCAGATTTTTCTCATACTGTAGAATATGGTTTAAATAATAATTACAATAAAAAAAAAAAAAAAAAAAAAAAAAAAAAAAAAAAAGACAATTAACAATAGAAAGGAGCGACCAACAGTGAACATCACAGTTTAGGGAGAGAAATAAGCGGACATTACAAGTCTCTCCTATACTGGACATTAATAACGTCATGGCAGGGTGAAAGCGTCCAGAGTTGAACGAACAAAAGTTTGAGTAAATGTACATCCAGGGAACAGATAGAGCCTCTTGGAGATCCATTGTAGTCAACCTTCGTTGTGGAGACGGCACATGACTGACTGACAATACTTTAGCACTAGAGTCCAACTGAAACAATCTTCGTGATCTTGTGGGGTAACTGTGATCTTTGTATGATTTTACAAACTTGTTGAACGCATTAGTTACAGGTCTAAAACACTTGACTAACTGCGCTACTGTCGTGTTTGCTGCCTTCACCCGTGTCCATCAGAAATATCGATTTGTCATTAACATGCTCATAAACAATATTTGTAACCTCAAGTTATCGACATCTGCTTGTGCCAATGTTTCCTGCACAGTGCTTCTAGCTTTCGCCATGCTTCATAAGTCTTACTGATGGCAGCATCGATTTTCATGATTGCGACTAGTGGAGTCTCTCTCTCTCTCTCTCTCTCTCTCTCTCTCTCTCTCTCTCTCTCTCTCTCTCTCTATCTCTCTCGGTCTGTCTGTGTGTGTGTGTATGTGTGTGTGCGCGCTCGCATGTGTGTTTGAATACACATACTTGTGAGTGTGTTTGTGTGTATGGGTGGCAAGGAGTCTGTAACGTGTAGACCCTGTCAAATAATTTAATAAGCATAGTTTTCTTTCAGTACTTTCTTCCAGTGAGAAGATGCGAACAAGCTTTAATCTGTATAATGATTAGCTGTTTGTGTAAATTCATCAGTAAAGCTGTCTCTAAGTAGAAGGCTTTGGCCTGCACTCGAACCTGTTTTCTGAAGAAGTGAAACTGTGATTCTAGCTGTAATTGATTTATGAAGTTGGAATTACTACTAGAGTAGAGAAGTTAATTAACAATGGATTTGTCTAACAACACATGTGAAATGCGGAGAGAAGTATAATTAACAATGGGTTTGTCTGGCACCACATATGAAATGCGGAGAGAAGTATAATTAACAATGGATTTGTCTAGCACCACATGTGAAATGCGGAGAGAAGTATAATCAACAATGGATTTGTCTAGCTCCACATGTGAAATGCGGAGAGAAGTATAATTAACAATGGATTTGTCTAGCACCACATATGAAATGCGGAGAGAAGTTAATTAACAATGGATTTGTCTAGCAACACATGTGAAATGCAGAGAGAAGTATAATTAACAATGGGTTTGTCTAGCACCATATGTGAAATGCGGAGAGAAGTATAATTAACAATGGATTTGTCTAGCACCACATGTGAAATGCGGAGAGAAGTATAATCAACAATGGATTTGTCTAGCTCCACATGTGAAATGTGGAGAGAAGTATAATTAACAATGGATTTGTCTAGCACCATGTGTGAAATGCGGAGAGAAGTATAATTAACAATGGATTTGTCTAGCTCCACATGTGAAATGCGGAGAGAAGTATAATTAACAATGGATTTGTCTAGCACCACATGTGAAATGCGGAGAGAAGTATAATTAACAATGGGTTTGTCTAGCACCACATGTGAAATGCGGCCTTGGGTTCGCCTTCTATTTTACTGCTGTCTTTGTGCAACAAATGCTGGTAAAACCAAATAAACCAAATTCAAATGTCAAACTTTGTTTTAAAAACAAATACATATTTTTGTGGTGTGTATGTGTGTGTATGTGCGTGTGTGTGTATGTGTATGTGCGTGTCCACACTTGATATCGTGGTACAGAGCAGAGAGACATCTGCCTTCAGCTGACTAGTGTTCAGGATTACCAGTGATAAAGGTGTCAAACTGACTAGACGCCTGGTTAGCTGCGTATCCTTTACAGGACGTTGCAGAACCAACCCCAGCAGCCCCTAGCTGTTGTGTGGTTTCTCTAGGCAAATTTACGTCCAGTAGTTTGCCATTGCTTCTGGACGGTCGGTCCCATGATACCACTGTCGAAACCAACGCAAGGCGCATGGCCCGCAGCTGGGATCGAACCCGGCACCCCGGCATTACGAAGGACTAGCCACCTGGTCGAACCAAAGATTGCAACCATGTCCTACCATGACTGAACAAGGTGAACGTCAATCAGCGCTGTGCTCACGAAGATAAAATATACTTTCTGTCAGCAGAAGCTGGATTTTGTTACACATCTGTAAATATAAAACAGGCACAAGTAATAGCTTGTTACCTGGATTATACTATACGAGCATCCATCACATCTACTTGCGTAATCCACACACCGTTAAAAAAAAAGTATACTCACCATGCATTTATGCCACTAGCGGAATCATAAACTGTGAAACACTAAATGTTCTTGGTTGGAGCAAACAGAAGACGCAGTCAGACATGTGTGTCGGTGACTGAAAACATTAGGCGAGGACAGGAATGGATCAAAGTATCCAAGCAACATATAGACATGTATAGGATTCTCAACACCGTGTGCTGAGAGTGCAGGAACATGCCAGTAAGCACTGCTAAATCACGGTTTCAACAAGTGATTTCTGACAATTTCCACCCATCATCTACGTCATTACTTAAACAGATGACTGTTTTGAAAGGCATAAAAAGCGCATGGAGGTTCGTAGTCAAAACGACATA